ATGAATTCAAAAAATAAAAAAAACAATTATTAAATTCTTCCAAGCTATCAAACCAAACTAAGTCTAAAAAACGAATTGCATTAAGTATATCATCATATGGAAGCTTATTTATTAAATTTTGAATTTCTTCTTTTTCATTTTGTTGAGAATCTATAGTTAAATCATTAGTAATATTAGATGGTGTTGATGGAACAGATTCATCATGAAACATTGATGATGAAAATATCTTAGTTTTTTTCTAATAGTTTAGAATTGTTTCACAAGTTACATTTTTCTATGCTTCAATTATCCAATCTATTGCTATTTTAATATCTATTTCTTTTGAAGGTTCTTTAGTTTTATATATTTTATTAAACTTATTTAACTAAAAATGTAAAAGACATCTACGATATTGGGCTTATAAATAAATTATATAATTAATAAATATAATTATTTATTATTAAATTTTGAGTATTGCTATTTCCATCTCATATTTTTATTAATATCATCCTTCAAAATATATAAATATATTCTAGAAGTAATATTATTATTAAGTAAATCTCTTTTTTGATATTAATTAAAGTTGTTTATTAGATCTTTCTGGTTTTAATAGTAGTAAAATTATTATAATTAGATCTGTAGTTCTTAAAATATTTAAATCTAAATTTATAATATTCAATTTATTTTTATACAAGAACTACTAGTATAACTTTAATAATTTTACTACTATTAAAACTAGAAATATCTAATAAACAACTTTAATTAATATTAAAAAGAAGATTTACTTAGTAATAATATCTATCCTAGAGTACTTTTATATATTTTGAAATAGTATTAAAAATAAATCTCAAATAAGTTTATTTAAACTAATACAGATTCAAAAATATTTATATATTAAAATTTTTAATTAAATATATATAACTTACCTAATAAGTCAGATTTAAAAAGATAATAATATATTTTAATTAGTAAATTTAAATAAAATATATAAAAAAAAATAATTCTTACTTTGAATGAATATATAATACTTGCATCTAAGGGTTGTAGATGAGCTGTTATATAAGATGATAACATATGTAATATAATATATAATAAATTTGATGATTTTAAACTACTATCACCTTTATGTAAACCTGCTTGATCATATAAAAGAATAATAAATTTATTTTGAGCTTCTATTTGAGAGTTTAATTTAGTTAGAAATTTATTCCAAATTTCTGTATTTATCTATGCAGTCTTATTAGCATAATAATCTACTTGCAAATTATCTTTATTAATATTAATTAAGACTCTAGGTATATTAAATTAGTGAATAATCAATGGTTTAATTTTATCAGTACCTATTAATATTAATACAAAAATTAGTAATATATTTAAAATATTATTTATTTATTAAAATTATTTTTATAACTAATATATAAGGTGAATATAGATATTATAGTGCATATAAGTTTTATGGCTAATAATAATGATTTAGTAATCAGAATCAGATAATTTTTATACTATTAGATTCATTACATTAAGATGAATCAAATAGTATAAAAATCATCTGATTCTGATTACTGAATTGTAAGATATATTCATTTAAAATAACAATAAAAATAAGAATAAATAGTATAATATAGGTATTATAGTGTATATAAATTTTTTAGTCAATAATTTATAATCCAGTTATCAGAATCAGATGATTTTTGTACTATTTGATTTATCTCATCGAGACGAATCGAATAGTATAAAAATTATCTGATTCTAATCACTAGATCATGAGATATCTTTATTTAAATAAAAAAAAAACTAGATTTATAATTTAGTTTTTTTATAAAAAATCAACGTAATATGCCAAAATTAATATTTTTTTACTAAGTAAATTGATCTTAGTGCATTAAGTAAAGGTGTTCGCAATGCAAAGTTCTACATAATATAAAATTTTAGTAAATTTTGGATAACTTTTTATTAATGCACTTTATTTTGTACAATTTTGGCTATAATTATATCACTAGTAAAAAAATGTATAAAAGAAAAGTGTATTAATAAAAAGTTATCCAAAATTTACTAAAATCTTATATTATGTAGAACTTTGTATTGCAAACAACTTTACTTAATATACTAAGATCGATTTACTTAGTAAAAAACGTTAATTTTAGTATATTACGTTGATTTTTTATAAGAAAACTAAATTATAAATCTGATTTTTTTATTTAAATAAAGATATTGAATGATCCAATAATTAGAATCAGATGATTTTTATACCATTCGATTTGTCTCAATGAGATGAATCGAATAGTATAAAAATTATCTGATTCTGATTGCTAGAGCATGAGATATCTTTATTTAAATAAAGAAACTAGTCTTATAATTATCTTTTTGTAAGAAATTAATGTAATATATTAAAATTAACATTTTTTACTAAGTAAATCGATCTTAGTGCATTAAGTAAAGTGTTTGCAATGCAAAGTTCTACATAACATAAAATTTTGGTAAATTTTGAATAACTTTTTATTAATGCACTTTTATTTTGTACAATTTTGCGCTATAATTATATTACTAGTGAAGAAATGTATAAAAGAAAAGTGTATTAATAAAAAGTTATCCAAAATTTACCAAAATTTTATATTATGTAGAAATTTGCATTGTGAACAACTTTACTTAATGCACTAAGATCAATTTACTTAGTAAAAAACATTAATTTTAGCATGTTATGTTGATTTTTTATAAAAAAACTAAATTATAAATCTGGTCTTTTTATTTAAATAAAGATATATCATGATCCAGTAATTAGAATCAGATGATTTTTATACCATTCAATTTGTCTCAATAAGATGAATTGAATAGTACAAAAATTATCTGATTTTGATTGCTGGAGCATGAGATATCTTTATTTAAATAAAGAAACTAGTTTTATAATTGTCTTCTTGTAAGAAGTTAATGTAATATGCCAAAATTAACATTTTTTACTAAGTAAATCGATCTTAGTACATTAAGTAAAGTTATTCGCAATGCAAAGTTTTACATAATATAAAATTTTGGTAAATTTTGAATAACTTTTTATTAATACACTTTTATTTTATACAATTTTGCACTATAATTATATTACTAGTGCAGAAACGTATAAAAGAAAAGTATATTAATAAAAAGTTATCTAAAATTTACCAAAATTTTTATTATGTAGAACTTTGCATTGTAAACAACTTTACTTAATGCACTAGAATCGATTGACTTAGTAAAAAACATCAATTTTGGCATATTACATTGATTTTTTATAAGAAGACTAAATTATAAATCTAGTTTTTTTATTTAAATGAAGATATCTCATGATTTAGTAATTAGAATCAGATGATTTTTATACCATTCGATTTATCTCAATGAGACGAATCTAATAGTATAAAAATTATCTGATTCTAATTACTAGATCACGAAATATTGTAACTGCTCTATAATATTTATACTCACCTTATTAATTAATTTTAATTTTTATATTTACCTATAACATTAGTACAAAGTAGAATAGAAATCTGTTGTTTATTATTTTTGAGTTCTGGTGAAGCTTTTTTGGTCAAGCTTCTTGATAGTTCTATTTTCTAATATAAACTAGTTTCATCGCAGTTGAAAATATTTTCTAAAGACTAAGTACTTAATATATTTTATAAAGTATTTCAATATTTAGGCAAACTCTCAAGTGGAGCACTGCTAGCTTCACCATGATAATTAAACTCATATAAACTAATTCTTTTTTTAAAATTTGAAACACAGCTATCTGATACTTTGAAATTTAATATTCTTAAAAGATTAACAAATTCTTGAGCCTGTAATATTAATGTATATCTTGATATAGTTAATTTTGCATCAAGTGCATGATCAACCTATAATAATAAAGTATTTTCAAGCTCAGAAAATTTAGAAACATGATTTCTTTGTGATTGGGCTTCATAGCTATTAGAATTAAAGTTAATCTAATAATCAGTTTCTTTTAAAATATCTCTTATAGAATTTGTACTAATTTTATAATATTGAGCTAATTCATTATTCATTATTTTAGAATTTTTTAATTTTGATAAGCATAGTTCTTTTTTTTGATATCTTCTTAATGTAATTCGTTTTTTAGACTTAGTTTGGTTTGATAGCTTGGAAGAATTTAATAATTGTTTTTTTTATTTTTTGAATTCAT